ATTATATATACAAAGCTTGGACGACCATCTTTTATTTACCGCGGATCCATCTAGTGGTAATCAGTAGAGTTATATTTACGCGTTTATGGTGTTCTACCCACATCTCCACATGTAAAATTGTAAAAAGCCCATCGATTCCGTTCCTTGTCCGGATTTGTCCAAATTTGGGTAATTGACACTCTCTTCCTACCCTCCTACACCCCTCCTTCCTCGCTCCTTTCCGGACTATGTCTATCTAAAGTTTATGTGCAAAACACCCAAACGCATATACGATGACTATTATTTATTATGATTGCAATATGCCTCAGAATACAAGTGAATTCATGACAATGTAACTTGTATAAATGTTGGTTTTGTGTGAGTCGACTTGATCATCTTAATAATTATGTATCAAATTGACAGAATGAAAAATGCATTGGTATTTGAGTATCAACACATATAATACATATAATAATATGTTGCTATGGTAACGAATCACTCATCCTTATGCTTTACATAAAATTAGAATCACAGTAATGCTGTGGAAAATACCAAGAGGAAGAGAAATTTTATGGAGCATAATAATTAACTGGTTGACTTTTCCCTCTCCTTTATTATGAAGATTAAAATTTTTTGAGTAATGAAGGTAATTAGTGAAGATCGGTAAAACCGTCGCAGATTGGTTTTCCCGCAGTTTTTTGTTTCTAAAAGAAATGGAATTAAAAAAAAAATAAGATATATTATACAATATAATATTATTATTGAAGATAAATGAGGAGAGAGCGGTAAACAACACTCACCCTCGACTCTTCGACAGCTACTTTTCGACTTTTCCATACAAATTCACATACAGCTATAACGCATGCTATTCCCATACCGCCCATCAATACAACAAATACACCACCGACATTTGCCAAACCAAGTTCATTTGCCGTAGATCCCGCTTTCTGGTTGTCTTCCTATAAATATATCCTTCATTTAATACCTCTTTCTTCTTTCTTTTTTATAAGAAAAAAAAATGCTTTCATATTGATTTAGGTCAGTCATTATACTATTCAATTTTTTGCTTACTCTGCATTTTCCACCACCTCGTTTCTCTTTCCACCATCGTGTCTTTAAAATATGCAATTTTCCTTCCTCTTGAAGTTTCAAAATGGCACTGCTAATGGCAGTTCTATACGGTGAATCTAAGAAAATAAAAATGGCAAAGTTCTTACTTGTTACTTGTAATAATTCAATGTAGAAATTAATTTATAATGAATATTTTTATTTCTTACTTGGCGGCATTGCAATTCCATATCCTTTCGAGTCGAGTTCGGTTCCAACGCGAGTTAATTCACAGTTTCTCTCGATAACGTATTCAATTGATGTAGATTCCATTAGAAATGCATAACTACCCCTACCTTTTATTACCCATTCCACACCCTCCATATTGCTCTTTGTGAATACACTTGGTTTGGCGGACTGCATGAACGACCACATGCGCTGATAAGTTGAAAAGTTTGAATCCTGCAATCATACAAGTGTATATTAATGCGCCTTTATTTTTTTTTCATTCTTTTACTTAATCAATTTCTTTTTAATGTGTATTTTTTAATTGTCCCCGTTTCCCTTTGCAGTTGTGATTTTTACCTCTTTTTACCATGATTACCATTCATCCATTTATTTATTTATTTATTTTCTCATTTCTTTACTAATTGTTGATACTGAAATATTGAAATATATAAATGATAAATGAATTTCATTCACCCGGAAAAATGCCGCCGTGCTACCCCCAGCCAATGCCCCATATTTTATTTTGGTCTGTTTTGCAAGATCTTCAGCTCCCTCAATTGGAGATTCCATTCTTTCAACAGTGAGAAATGCAGCAAGATTGGCTGTGTATGATGAAATCATGATAAGCGTGAAGAACCACCACATACCCGCTACCATCCGCGTTGATACTGCTCTGAGGGAGTGAAAAATAATATTGGGGAGTGCTAAACAGAATTGATTTACATCGACATACATTTTATTTATCTTATATTTATTTATTTATTTATTTATTTATTTATTTATTTATTTATATGCATAAAGAATAGTAAGCGTGCAGGAATTTTGATTGAGAGGAGCATTCTATATTATGAGTAACACATAAATGCATAGCTAATATGAGAAAGATGAAGGTGAAAATTTTATCAAGTTATAATGCCAGCAAGTCGATTGTTACTTTTATGTGGACATATATAAACGACCTTTAAATGAAAAGAATAAATTTATTATTGAGAAAGTGAAGGAATAAACTAGATGACAAATCGAATAACATAGTGTTCGATACTAACGTAGGCTACTGCAGCATGCCTACGATATAGCATCGAAAATAATTACAAATTATAATTCGTTTTGATATTTATTTTGCAATGATTAGCGATTGCATTTTAAAAATTTTCCTTTTTCGAAAATACAATTCATCTATCTATGATTGTTTTGAACTTACTTCGGTGCTATATCAGAGCCTTGCTGCATGAGTGAGCCTATGGTGAACCAGAGTGAATTGAGAAGAGTGAACTCGTTCTCGCAGGTGTCAAATTGTGCGCTGCAAGTATGGGAATTCTCCCACTCATATGGACTGAACCTGCGGACATTTTAACGGAAAAGGGAGATGCAATTAAATCTTGGAGATTGTTGACTATTTCACTTTTTCTTTTCATTGATAATCGAGAATGTAAACTCATCGTTCTTTAAGAGTAAGAAGACCTGGAGAATATATTATATTGTCGGAGAAAGGATCACTTGCTTATTTAACATGTGGCGTATATATTTTTCCTCATTATTGTAATTAACATTTTTTAAATATAGGGATATTATTATAGCTGCTACTAGTTGATATATAATTTCGTAATTGTATAACACATGGCGAAGCATACAAACAGCCATTGGTATTTATAGATAAAGGTATTAGATAGGTATTTGCACAGTTATCAGCTTACTTGGGCAAAATGTCGCTACCCTGGCGCATTAAAGAACCAATGGTGAACCACAGACAGTTGATTAACTTGAACCGATTTTCTATATGTGTGCAATTACGGCCGCACCGTCGGGGATTATACCACTCGTAAGGGGTGAATCTGAATGTAATAGCTTATTTCTCTCATGTTGTTTATGTGAGAAAATATTCAGTTGGAAAAATGGTATGAAGTGACTATTTGTATTTGATGCAGATGTAGTACTTACCTTGCTAGAATAAAAAGTAGAATGGAAACTCCAAGATAAGCCGTCACCATGTAAATCCACACATCGAGACTCAGTGGGCTCAGAAATGAAAAGAGATTTGGGGGTTTCTTGATGGGTTTTCGATATAGGATACTTATTCCTACAATTAATAAATTTAAAAAATATTAATAACATTATTCCGTTTGTTTCAACCTCTATATTACCAAGGTTCATGAAAGGCATTGTAAAATCAACGGCCTGTTCACGATCGTATGTGATTGTAAGATCAGCAATAGCAAGATCAGCCTTTTGATCTAAGAGTTCTTTTATCATGCCATCCCATTCTTTGGTTTCTTTGTTGTACGAGCCATATTTTTTATCTGGTACAAGCCGAAAGGTATAATTAAACCCCAGTATTTTTGAAATTTCATGAATAAGATCGATGCTGTATCCTTCATATTGTGCATTTCCTTGTAGTTTTTCACTTGAATCTTTTAGCATACAGTATGGTGCGCTCTGCAGATAAATATTATAATCATTTCCCTACTAGTAATTTATGTTAATAACAATGAATGTGGAAATTCTTACCAGAATCGTTGTGACAATGAATGTTTTATTTTGTAGGCTTTCAACAATTTGCGTATAAACGTCGACAAATGTTCGAGTAAAATTAACTCCTTCCGTGCTATTCCATGTACCAATTTTCTTCAAACCATCTTTGTTATTCAATTCAATTATATCAAGCATAAAATCCGAGCGAAAGCCCTGATGATCGAATTTTATTAAGCCCGTCAATCCTGTTATTTCCACCTATTTAAATTTTTTAGTAAGAAAAAATAATAATAATAACCATTCGTCTAATTTCTCTCAAAAAACAAACTTCTACTGCGACAGAGAAATCATTTAACTCACAATTTTCATATAGTTAATAAGCGAATAACCGTGCGACCACGTATCGGCAGAGTCACATGATAATTGTTTTATATCTAATTGTTGCGATTCATCCAATACGTGAAGAGCTTTGGCAAATAAATGTACAGCGTCATACATTAGTGCTACTTCAGTCTGAAACATAACGTCTATTTTGCACCAAATGTTTCTTAATAAAGTTAAACAATCATTCAATAAAATTGAAAAATTTATTCTTCATTTAGAATGATATTTGTCTAATTTTTTATTTATTAACTTTACCTTAAGAGTAGTGATATTATTCTATGTCCAAGTTGCATGAAAAAGAAAAAAAAATAAATGTATAGAAGATTATCAAAAATATTCCAAGAGTTGTGTTGAAATGATTTTTTTTTTTTTTAATCTCTTCTATGGATGTGTAGAAGAAATTATAAAAGGAAGAAAAAACCTTATTGATTCCTTGGGCCAACTGCAGTTGACGGCCATATCTCTGTTCACCAAATATCCATTCTTGAACGGTATTCTGTATTTCGGGTTTTTCGGGATCTAGTAATCGAAAGGCAGTGATATTAGTTCCTCCATATTTGAATTCTTCCAGATCAACACTATGGAGATCCTGAAAGAGAGAGAGAGAGAGAGAGAGAGAGAGAGTAGACGGAATGATAATATTAAAGGGGTATATGTCATTTTTAATTTCATGTGATGTAAATACAAAGAGGAGCAAGTACCAATGAAGTAATAAGATAACTGTGGTAATCGCTCATCATGCCAATTTGTTGAGCTTGTTTCAAAACTTCATGGATCCTTTCCGTTGAACAATCGAGTACTATATGTGACTCTGCTGAATTCTTTATTTGTTTCAGTAATGGTCTATGAAATAATAATAATAGGATACAAAATATTGCCGCACAATTGTGGTTTTCCAATTTTTTATTATTGAAATTTTTTACCGGTAATCGTCACCCTCGCTGAGTTGTCGAACTGCAATCGGAAAATCGCTAGGTCCATGAGCCTTTAGAAGCTCTTGCAATCTTACCAATCCTTCGTTGTTTTCATATATTATGGTGAAGCTTTTCCATCCCCAAGCCTTAACAAGATCTACATATGCCTGAAATTTCAAATAATATAATAAAACATTTATATTTTAAATACTAATTCGACGTATGCTATCCACATTTATACTATCTACATTACACATTACATTTGATGTAGAAAACAATAATCTACTATCTTAACCAAAGGTGAGATACCTTTGACAATGTTGTGGGATGTGGATATAAGTTGACAAGACAACTTTCTCTCCGAAATCTATAATCCCAGCGTGTTTCTAAATGTGGTATTTCCATTGTATCACAGATGCTCTGCACATGTGCTGCTGTATGGGCACTTTGTGGGCCAAAGATTGCCGCGACACCAGTGTTTAGGAGGTAACATACTAATAAGAATAAACAAAAAAAAAACGTAATAAGCCTACTCCAGGTTTTTTTTTTATTTAAAGATAAACATAAAAACATTCCGATGATTCACATTGAATTTACCTCTCTTTGATGCATGAAAACTATCTTGAGGGGAAATTTGTTCAATCTGAGCACTAAGTCTCGATCGAGGTAGAATATGTCTAATAGCATTTATTTTCTCCACTGCATAACGGAACGCAACTGCTTGTTTATCATCCAATGGATGGAAGAGTCCTCCTAGAAAAAAAAAATCCAAAGAAATGATAAATATGAGAGAAGCGATAATAATCAGTAATTCATTACTCACCTATTCTAATAATATCAGGTAGAGCATGAATGTGCGTAATCATCAGCAAGAGTAAAATTTGTGCTACGGTACACATGTTTCAATATCAAATGATATAATGAAAAAAGTGAGATCGAGGCATTCATTTAATTCATTCCATCACTGATTAATTTCCTTATCCAATTATTATTTTGCACATTGATGATTCATACTATGCATTATATGGTTAATAGTTGGAACTCATCAACCAAAAAAAACACTATTTTTTAAGAGTCATTTTTTATATTGAAAATCTTTGTGGAATTTCAACTTGCAGATAAATGTAAAATGAAAAGTCTGTGTAGTTTTATCCATGTCCATGTAAATGATTATCAGTTGATGCCACAAACATTATAATTAAATTTTTCATTAGTAATATTTATCGTGAGTTGAAAAATTTGCAAGTGTCCGCAATTAGTGTATTTTACTCTCTCACACTCTTTTATTTTTTAATTACACTAACAGCGATTTACACCATCTTTGCTAATATGAAGCAAAGTATATTCCCTGTATTATATTAACGATTGTTTTGACAACATATGAAATTAATGGGTGAAATTTCTTTTCTTCTGTTATAATATTTCATTGAATATTTTTATATCTTCATTTGAAGCAGGTTTTTTTCTCTCTCCCTCCCTCTCTCTCTCTCTCTTTTTCTCACCCTCAATACGGCGTACTACATAGTTATGTTGTCGTAGAAGGGATAATTAATTAAATAGTACAGACAAAGATGATTGATAATATTAGCAGGAACGGGTGATCAAAATATTCAAGTTATTAAACCGAAACCGGAATTTTTCATCAACTGAAAAGTGAACTAGTCTCGCTTCGACGCAATAGCACTTGTCGACACCACCCTCTTGTTTCTCGCTCAGCATCCCCTCTTTGCCATCCAGATTTGGCCTTCAGAGCCAATTGGATTGTGGTTCCCTCTGGTGGGCAGTAATTTTCTCTAACTTACTATCCTGCTCCATATCCTTTGTTCCTCATCGTCCCATTTCATATTTACTACCCTTATATTGATCTTGGCATGCTGGGAAGTAGAAACGCATTTCGAAACAAATTTCTTCCTGCTTCATTTGTTTATGAAATCTCTTGTACAGTACTACTCATTATTATTATTTCTCCATCAGATTATAAATAGCTCATAATATCGGACAATACTCTATGAGTAATTTTCACCATGCGAAACCGCAATTACATTCGGCATTACATTGTAAGAAGGGGTACTCCCTCGAGCACTTGTCTCTTCTCTTGTAGAGTGCGATGACCTTCTACATCTGACTGGTTTCACTGTTCGCTTCAATTGCATTATGAATTTCAATTCCTGTTTTAGTACTTGCTTAAATGACACCTTTTCACGTAATGATGTGACAAATACTGCATGCAACATCTCCAATACGGAAAGAACTATTGATACTGCTATTCCAACTCCTAGAACTAAAAATACTCCCCCAACGTTATCTAGTGTCAATTCCGCTGGCGAACTGGAGCTAGTCTCAGCCTAAGATATAAAAAACAAGTGGAATTTGATATATCATGGAAATTGGCACACTTAATAATTGAACAATTACAATGGTTTTATCTGGAAGAATTACTCACCGTGCATTTTCCTCCCCCTCTTTTTTCTTTCCACCATTTATCCTTTAACTGCGCTAACAAACCACTTTCCTGCATTTGCAATACAGCTGTATTTAATTTATCTCTATCTTTGAAACCTAGTAAAAAGTGTGAATTATCATTATTTGAATAAGTACATTAGTCAATCAGTTAATTATTCAAAAGATCATAAGTTGGGGACATATAGTCACCTTTTTTCATGGCAATTCCATATCCTTTTGTATCCAAAGGATCACCGATTTGGGTCAAATTGCACTCTCTTTGGGACACGTATGCTATTGAAGCCGATTCCATGAGAAATGCATATTTACCATCCTCTTCAATGACACGTTTGCTACCTGCTTCATTGCTATCTGTCATTACATCATCTAAATGCGCCTTCATGTAGTTGTACATTTTAACATAAGTTGAATGATTGGAATCCTTTGAAAATATTAAATCTATTATATGTCGTTATCTCATCTCGTTATTCGCTGTAGCAATAAATCCTCGTTTTACCTTAAAAAATTGATACGTAGCCCCATCTTTTTTTGCTCCATATTTTATAAAGCCATTTAGATTAGCAAGATCTTCAGCAGATTTAATAGGTCTGACGCTAGTCTCTACCACGAGAAAAGCGGCAAGATTGGCAATATATGAGTTAGCAATGATCAGTGAGAAGAACCACCAGGCAATTGCTAACATCCTCGTTGAAGTGCCACTGCGACAAATAAAAGAAAAAAAAAAGAAATTTAATTATTATTATTCATTTCTTATGTCCTATTATTTTTCATTTAGTGTCATATAGAAATTCACATTGGGGCAACATCAGATCCTTGCTGCATTATAGCTCCAATTGTAAAGGAAAAAGCATTCGGTAAAGTAAATTGATTTTCAAGTTCCGTAGGCTCTTTGATACATGGATGTGGGTTATTCCATTCTGCGGGGCACATTCTACCGATTAAGAAGAGAAGAGTAGATGTTAATGTGTATGCGCCTATGAGATATAACCATACGTCTCCTGCCATTGGAGAAAGGAAGGAGAATAAACTTGGGGCCGCTTTAGAGGGTTTTCTAAAAAGAATACTAATACCTGTGAAAGAAAATAAAAATTAATTTAATATTTCAAACATTATGATTGAATAATCTGATGGTTGAGCTCACCAAGGTTCAAGAATGGCATAGTAAAATCAACAACTTTTTCACGCGCAGCGGTAATAGTAATATCTGTGATTGCCAAGTCTGCATCCTATAAATTTTTGGGAAAATTGATTTTTTTTGTTTTGTTTTGTTTTTTTTTTTTTCGTAATTTCGCGCCCTTTATTTTTAAATTTATGAAAAGTCTTTAATTATAGTGTCAAATTATATCAATCAATCAATCAAACTCACACCACTTATGATTTTCCCGAGCATTCCTGACCATTTTCCATTAGCATCTGGCTTACCAGTGTTTTTATCAACTTGTTCAACCAATGTATAATTGAAATGAAGCGTTTTACTAAGCTCATGAATGATGTCGATGGCAAATCCTTCATAACGGTCATTTCCTGTTTTCATTGTTGCCGATTTCTTCAACATATTGTAAGGGTCCAGCTGAAATAATAATATTTATAAGTGAACGCATCGCTAGGTATATAGGTCGCAATTTTACCAATTCCTACCAAGGAAATTAAAATAGTAAATGTTTTGTTTGCCAAATCCTCTTCAATTCCCACAGTTTTATCATGTGATTGTGCTTTCCATTCGATACCGGTTGTACTGTTCCATGTGCCAATTGAATATAAACCTTGCTCATCCAATTGTATAATATCTACTTGAAAATCACTGCGAAATCCACTAGTATGGAATTTTATGAGACCTGTCAGTCCCTTCATTTCAATCTACATGGAAATGGGAATGGAAATGATGCAATAATTGAAAGTCACTAAGAATATATATTTTTTTAAGGGGCCTCTCAATAAATTATGTTTCTTTGGCATAACATTTTCATCATCATGTATTGGAAAAATCATACCGAACGTATAAAGTTACTCAAGGTACTTCCATATTCCCAGCTATCAACTCCATCGCATTTCAAAGTTCGAGCGTGTCCCGTTGCAGCATCCTCAAAATGCTTGAATGCTCTAGCAAACAATTGTACTGCATCGTACACCAGAGCAGAATGTAATGACATTTTTGAAAGATCTTCAATACCCATTTTATATGGAACATCACTGAATAGATGTTGTAATTCATCATCATGTGGATCAACGAGGCGAATTCCAGTGATATTCGCCCCTGAATATTGGAATGGCTCAAGATTTAAAGCTTGTAGATCCTGAATAAAACAAATAATATCCACGTGTTTTGGAAAAAAAAAAAAACAAAATGTTGCTGGCAATAATTAAAGGGCAAATATTAGCGCCTACCAATGAACTGATGAGTATTTTGTGTCTCTCAGATAATAAACCAACTTGTTGTGATTGTAAGAGAACTTGCTCTAAAATCTCAAATGAACAATCAATAACTAAATTTTTTTCACCCGAATTTTTAATTTTTTTGAGAATCTGTCTAAAATTTGGGCCATCTCCTAAATGACGTAGAGTTATAGGATAACCTTTAGGATCCCACCTCTCCAATAGCTTATCCATGCGGATTAAGCTGTCTATATTATCGTAAATAATGGTAAAAGATTTCCATTTGAATTCCATCACTAGGTCAGGAAATATCTGCAAAATTATATGCTATATGAGACTGAGAATCTATAATGCAATTGAAAATCGTTTAATGAATAAAAGGAATTTGTACATAAAGGTACCTGGGAAAGTGTGTTTGCGTGTGGATACAAGTTGACGGCTTTCATTCTAAATGAATCAGAATCCCATCGGGTAATGATGTTTGGTATATCCATTGTATCGCACATACTTTGAACATGAGCTGACATTGACTTATCGTGTGGACCAATAATTGCAGCAATACCATCGTACACCAAGGAACATACTGTACATTTGTATAAATAATCCAGAGGCTTACGTTATTGGAATGATCGAGCCATTGCAATAAATACGTACCAGACTGAGAAATATCAAATGTATCGCCACTCAATGATGGGGTATCGGCAACAAAAAATATATTTGGTAATTCTTCAGTTAAATTGCGTCGCATTATATTAACATCTTCTATTGAAATGGCAAATGCTTTCCTACTCATATCATCATCATGAAAAAGCCCACCTGAAATTTTTTCAATTTTTTACAAAACTAGCGTATATGGCGCGCTATGCGCGCCAAATCGTCCACGTATGGGGTGTTATCATTGGAATATATATATATATATATTCACGGTTATTTCCAATGTAATATATACATGTATAGAATTTAAAAAAGAAGATAGAAAAAAGTCTAAAAATTTATATAAAAAAAATAATTTAAAATTTAATAAATTTAATAATTTAATTTAATTTTTTTTATAAATTATATTAAATTTATATATTATATTATATAAATTTGGTATAATATAATAGAAAAATAAAAATATTAAATATTATTATATAAAAAAAAATTATATATTATATATATATCATATTATGTAGATATATTTTGATATGCATAGCGCCAAGAAAAGCTGACAAAAAACGTTATTTACAAAATAGTACAATGTTATTAGTACTTGAAGTGTAATAATATATGGAATCACCATTTATATGTAAATAATAGCCTACTATTATTCTACCCACCGATGGTTATTTTCTTTCTGGTAGCAAGTACGAGTGGAACAACAATGACAAGTAATATTAAATTATTGAAGACCATCACCATTTTCATTCTGCTACCAAAAATCACATGTGATCCAAATGACACTAATGTTTTACTTCACTTATTGCTGCTATTTTTTGGATTGTTAGAACACTCGAACGAAATTTTTTGAGAGAACCATCGACTATTGCCTCATCATATGTTGCGTGCATGGACAACAAATTTGGGTGAGTACGGTTCCCGATATATTTAGCTACAAACGGTCACGTGAACATAGGCGTAGATGTACGCACGGAATTGTCGAGATATATCTACTCCATCAAATGCACTCCAAAATTCACATTTCAAAAATTTTTTGAAAGATTTTTTTTGAAAATTATTTAGTTGCTTGAATCAATGGGGATTGAGTATTAAAATAAATTCTCTTAAGCTCTTTGATTTCACTTGTATCATGCGGCTCACGGTTTTCTTGATAACTGATGGAGCTACGGGATTTAGTTTCCTCAATACAGACAAACGATTGAAATAGAAGGGCTTTTAAATAGGAGATATTATCCGTCAAACTGCTCGTCGTTTCCTTAAGCTCCCGGAGAACGTCCTCGATCTGGATGGAAAATGTCATGAGCTTTTATTTCTTTGTTTTTCCTCCTCAGTGCCACAATCCCAGAGGTGGGGCTTCAGTATCTGAAGTGTCTTGCAGCGTCATTCGCGAATATATTTTGCTCTTACCTGGACACTCTGAAGTAGATACTTTCGTCGATGATAGGTCTCTCTTACACCAAAGGCCGAGACTAATTCTTAACGATTGAGGGACGACAAAGCTCTTTCTGAGGAGCTTGAGACAAAGGGGGCAGGGGCAGGGCCAGGGGCAGGGGCAGGGGCAGGGGCAGGGGTAGTGGCAGTGGCAGTGGCAGTGGCAGTGGCAGTGGCAATGGCAGTGGCAATAATGAAAATTCCAGGAAGAGGTGAACGGATCTGAGTTACGGAGCGCCCGGCGATTCATAATAAGCGTGA